AAACAGCACGGGCAGTTTTCTAACCCAGCTACATGGCTCTAATCTATGATAACCTCATTCCTTCTTCTCCCCCATGCCACAACCCCAATACCAATAACTCTTTGCCTTTGTTCAGTTTTATGGCCTTTTTAGGGTGAAAGCTCTACATGGCAGTCCTCTGCTCTTCCAGCAAAGGTCCACTTGCGTCTATGCCTGAAGCCAGAGTCAAGCAGCTAAATCCTCAGGATTTTTTTTGCAAAGAGATGTATTTGCAAAACATGCCAGAAGATATGTTAAAGGGCAAGCATCATGGCAGGCGAAACAGGCACCATGAAATGAGCAGTTCGAAGTCAGCGTTCCTAAGAAGAGCCGCATGAGCACTGAACTCTAGCACTGCCCTCCCAGAGGTCTCCATGCCAGTGTCCCTTCACCAAATGGAGCAGGCCCCTCAAAGACTCCCAAGTTGCTGCATCTCAAATGGTAGCTTGGATCCCCCAGACCTCAGACAGACCATGAATGGGGGTGTTGATGCAGAAACTAAATTCCCTCGGTTCTTTGTACTCACAGCACGCAGAGGCAATATACTCCTGGGATGCTCTCGCTGTCTCGCAGTAAATAGCTGCCATCCATCCCCTTAGCCAGCAGGAGCTTCTCCCCAGTTTCTCGGCTGATGTTCCCATGGTAAACTGGCACGGGATCCATTGCTTCAGGGTGAACACGGATGAGCCAGATGAAATCCAATTATGTAGGAGTGGCTGGTGCTAGTGCCTGCCACAGAGCACACTGATGTTACCTAACTGTGCCTCACTTGCTTGCTCACTGAGCTGGTGGTTATAAACAGGATGTGTTCGCAGTTTTAGAGCTTCTTTAATAACTTCTCATATTGGCAGCTAAAAGCAGCCTTGAATTCACAGCTGCAACACTAGGGTTGCGCTCTCTCCACCTAATTGAATATACAGAAAGGAGAGTTCACACCCTTTTGCCATTTGTGTAACTCAGGTATATAGATGACACAAACCCCCCGACAAAAAAGACAGGCCTATTTCCTCCCCACTTCTCAGAAAGGTCTCACTTGACTTTTTTGAGAGCTGGGATTCTAATACTATTTTATTCAAGGGTCTTTTCATATTTTCAGTAAGATATTTACAGACGTCAAATGGACGGTGGGAAAACTAAGGGTCAAATCAGTTCCCCGTGGGCTTTCTGCATCTCTGTGAAGCAAGGTAAAGATTAGCAAAGCTGAGAGGAAACTTGAAAATACATAAAGGCGATTTAAAAATCAAGAGGTTAAAACAGATCCTTTAAGATCTTTACTACCACGTACAAAACTTGTACGATGTCTGACTTTGGAGGGAAGAAACTGACTCTCTAATGCTGCATATTTCCCGATTTTCTCAGAGGTAAAACACTAGTCACTGTAACAGCCACAGCGTGGCACCTGCTCTGAAACCCACACTAACTCTACCCATCATTAATATGGGTAAGTGCCCAAAATTTCCTGTGACCCTTTTCCCTCGCCACAAAGGAACTGGTTGACATGAGCCTCCCCTGCCATGAATTATCAGCCTAGATGGCTTGCACAGGGAGTGCCATGCTAACAGAAAAATCCTATGGCCGCTTCTCCAGAAATAAGAGCACCTATTCTGGTCCTTTCGGATCATGGAAGAGCTAAAAGGAGGACATGCAAAGCTAATTTAGAGTAGCCCGAGGCACAGGACCAAGCACATTCAAAATCTTTCCCAAGGAGACCAGCCTAGGATCAGAGCTGTCCTCTCATCTTAAATCATGCCTACCTTAAAGAGCTGTGGACATGTTAGATTTGGTCTATTAAGAATGAACGGATGTAGCTACTGTTAAATGAAACTACTAAATACAGGAATATTAAGAGAGAAGCTATCTAAGCGCTGCCCCTTCTCCACCCCCTTGGAATTTGTGAATAATAGGAAGTTCCCCCAAATCTGGAGGTGTAAAATCAGGGCAAATAAATTGATAAAAAAAACTCTTTGGGAACATTTTCTTCCTAACATCCCTTGCCTGTGCTCCATGGCAGACTGTATCGTCATCTACATCTGTAGGAGTTTGTCTGGCTAAAAACACTTAATGTTGAAAATGCAATTCCCCTCAAAACCACCTGAAAGACGAGCTCCAGGGGGGCACGCAGCCCCTCACTGAACAGCCATTCACTTTGGCTTTGGTGGTTGTCGATACTCAGCAGTCTGCATGCATGAACTTGTGAAAGCCAGGCTGGGGAGAGCTAGGGCTTAAAATGTGTCATCTGAAACCACTCTGTTCAGGTGCTGCCCGTGATTATTTTCATGTAGGTTTATGGTATGTGAATGCTCTTAATGTCAGAAGTGCTAATTATTTCCACTTCAAGGCAGATGATACATTATTCCTAAACTCCCTGGAAGATTAAGTTGGTGATGCTCAGAGTTGTATATTTAATAGACAGCATTTGACATTTAGAAACATTTTCCTTCAGCTTTTTAAAAAACAACCTGGTCCTTTCTGTCGGCCTGAAGCCATGAACAACCAAGCTGTGCTGATCTAACGTTATCACACGCAGCAAGGTCCCACACATCCTTCCTGATGCCATTAACAAAGCAGATACTTTAGATTTGCATAGAAGTGGATAAAACAAATTCAGAAGAAAGATGGCCACCCTGTATGAAAAAAACAGATTTCTTTCAGCTCCTCCGATCATGTATTGCTTAAGTGCATTTATTGCTTGAGATCTACAATAAATTATTTGCTCAAATGGGTTCACTTACCTGCTTGTAAACAGATTTAAAATTTACTTTTTCTCCATGACATTTCCACTCATGGAAAAACTGAGTTTATGTTTCCTGAAGTTGAACAGCATCGTGCAGCAGTAAGTCAAACTGCATATTACTCTTCTATCAGAATTACTCAGGGCAGTCTTCTTTAGGCTATGGCTCGTTTAAACATTCAAGGCTAAATTCATCTCAAATGTAACTCAGTTGAACTCCACCTGATCCCTCCGGCTCTTGTATGTTAGGCTGTTACTTATACCTCTGGAAAGTTAATGCAACACGAGTACAGATCGTTTCGTTGATGCACGAGAGTGGAGAATTCTATTTAGAAACACTTTTAGAGCCACTATGTCAGGGACTGAACTAGGAAAGGCAGTGAAGTATCAGTCTGTCAGTCATTTTGTAAAAATCCCCCACGTGCTTATAAATAGGGTTCGGTGGAAAACGGTTTTCACATCCCAGAATTTTTTTTTTAAATGTCCTTGTTCTAGATTGAAATGAAGAGTCAAGATCTCAAAATATTTTTGACAACAGAACATTTCCCTCTTCCCCTTCCCGTCCCCTCCCCCCTGAAAAAATTCAGGTTGGTTCAAACCCTTCATCTTGACCATTTCCAAATGGATCATTTCAGTTTTGTCTTTTTTTTCCCAAAGAATCTTAAAAAAATAACTTCTTGTTTTGAACTGGAAGTTATTTCAAACTGAAGAATGCAGCATTAATATTTTTAAAACAAACTGATTGCTTTGAAATTATTTAGAAAGTTGTTCAAACTGACCCCTTCTGGGAAAAAGATTTGGTTTTGAAGAACTGGAGTATTTTGATGGAAAAATGTTTTGTTGAAAGATTCCCAACCAGACTTATTTAGGACTAGGCCTGGGCCCAAATCACAACATCCATAAAATTTGGAAGTAACCGGTTCCCCAGGAATTAATTCTCCCTCCTATATAGAGGACACCTGTATAGCAAGGAGAACGGGAAGTTCCTGAGTGGTATGCATGTCTGACGACAAAAAAAAAAAAAAAAAAGATGCAAGACCACACGCATGATAACCAACATCCACAATAGACCTCCAGGGAACACAAAAGCACGCACAACTAGTATCAGGGCAGCAGGAACACTTCTAAATAGAGATCAAAACCTCTGCTTGTCCCCAGAGGCTTAGCAGATACTAAGGCAAATTTGGGTGAAACAGCGGCCAAAAATGTCAATGGCTATTCTATAGCAGCTCTATATAATCTTGTTATAAAGATGCCAAGGTGTTCCTTACATTACTTAGAGAAACACTGGGACTCAACTACCCTGCTTACACTTTTTATCAGCTGTAAAAATATTTGCACAACAAAGTAGAGCTACCATATGCTGAAAATATGATTACGTGCATGGTGACAAGCAATAAGCTAAGCCTTTTCCTACAGAAGGCTTAGGCAGATTTTCTTTCTTCTTTTCCAAGCTACCTATACTATATTCAAACATTGTTTGGGGATTTCGTCTAAATTTCCCATATCTTGACCTATTTTCAGTTTTAATGGGCAATTTAAAAAAAAAAATACATGTGTGGTTAACTTGAAAAGGAAAAACCATCACAAGCAGCTGGCACTGCAAATGTCATTTGACCAATTTTAGGATTTCAAAACACTAAGGTGTTTGCAGGAAATCTCTACACTTTTTTAGTATGAGAAACTTGGTAATTTACCCATAGAGCTGTACAATTCTCCTCCTCCAGAAGCTGGGGTATGCAATATTCATCACTGAAATGGGAAAAAGGATCATTGTAAACATTGCAGTTTTGAAACTGTCAGACAAAGCACATATATAATAGGTACATGTATGTATTTATG